TCGACCTGTTCTCCTTAGCGAACAAGCTCTTTTCCAAGTTCGGGTTTTCACCATTCTAATCTTGGATAAAATATAGATCGAGAGATTATTGCGATGCATCTAGGTCAACGTACTTTTAGAGACTTGATCACGACAATACAGCGACCGATTTCTAAATATCTTAACAAAATTACTGACAGATTTTGTCTTTCTGCTTTTTAACTAGCAGGGTGGACATAGATACTTCTGTGTCATCGTCGAAGGATTTGGCCAGAAAGAGCATTTCCATATCCTTCCAGCAAGTGATGGATTTAGGCTCTAATCTGAGAAACCTCTCAAAAACGACCCCTTGAGGGTACTAATAAAAAGTTGAGTCATAATAAGAGCATTCCCTACTATGTGTCCAGTCTGCGTCTAGAAATAGTAGATGTACTAGGTAGGAGAACCATTGTTATCGAACTATAGGAGGCTGAGTGGCTTAAACTTTGAAGGATAGGGAATGGCATCCCATTCGGCAGGGTATGGCCTGATGACCCTCAGTTCTCTAAAGTTTCTCTGAAGCTTCAAAGCCTCAAGCTGCTTTTGGAAATCCTCTAACTTATGATCTCGGTTATTCTTACGCGGGTTGGACTCAGCTTCGGATGATTCAGAATAAATATTAAAATACTTTTCCTCCTTTTCTTCTTCATTATTGCTATCTTGGTTTCGACGGCTAGATTCTCGAACACTGGGTGAAGGTCGTCGGTGCCTTGATCCTAAGAATTCGGTGGTAGCTTTCTTCTTCTTCTTCTCCTTGAGGAGTTTGTCCACCATATCCTCCAAGCACCTGATGGTTTCTTGTTGTTGGAGGAGAACAGCTTGTTGTTCTTCCAGCCTTCTTGTCATTTCTTCTTCATTCTCGGCCATGTGAGCGCTCACTTGCTCAATTTAATCGGTGCTGGATGGTTGGGATGTTGCAATGACATAGTTTTCAGGCTTTTCATCAACATCATAGGATATACCCGCTAATTTTTGATAATTCAACGGGATCCTTCCTCTGGTACTGGTATGGGTGTGTTGGTAAATACCCTATCTTTCAATGAGTGCTTCTCGTAATCCTGTGGAAAACTCAAGATTGGAGGACTCGGAAGAATCGACTTGGGTTTTACCCTCACCTTTACCAACCATGTTGATCATCACTTCGACGTGGCGATTCTTGGACCCTTGCTTCTAAGGACGAAAGAGTCTTCTTCTAGATGAAGGAATCGTCGAAGGCTCTGACAGTCGTTCAAAGACTGTAGACTTGTGTGCTGATACCCTACATGGGCATTGGGAGAGTACTGCGGAGATAAGTTTTTCACAATTACAATTGAATTTCATCTGGCTCATACTACGTTTACGAACCAGGTAATCATAGAGATCAATAACATGACCACCCTCTGTTAACTCAAGTAGCTCGCTTATGCATGCGTGAGAATCTCTAAGTGTTAGAGATTAGCGAGCCTGATTGGCTGGACGAACCTCATGCTGAAGACGGGGTTTGTCATCTGGGCGCACTCGGACGCTTGGGCGAGGCTCATGTGTGATACGAGGTTTGTTAGTTGGGCGAGCCTCGTCATTCATGCGAGCTTTGATATTCAGACGAACCTGGTTAGGGAAATGAACCTCGTATTTCATGCGAGGTTCGTCAATCGGACGAACTTTGTTCTAAGGACGGATTTGTCGTCTGAATTAAACCTCATCTTGGACCCTTGAATGTTTCTCTATAATAGTGCTAGTATGAGGTTGAAGGCGAGATTCATTTTTTCGACGAGGTTCGTCACTTCGTCGAGCCTGAGTCTTGCTATTCTTTACAGAAGAGCAAATTTGCACTGGTTGTTTTGGATGAGCCTCGTGTTGAAGATGAGGTTCGTCAGTTGAACGTATCTGAATACGTTGGTGAGGCTTGTTGTTTCGACAGGCCTGAATCTGACTAGCTTGAATAGCAGTACGAGCTTGCAACGGTTGTTTCAAATGAGCCTCATGTTGAAGACGAGGTTCGTCATTCGAGCGAGGTTTTTCCTCCTAACGAGCCTGGATTTGGCTATCTTTCTCAACAAAGCAAACTCGTTGAGTTGGACGAACCTCGTATTGAAGCTCGTCATTCGAACCTAATTGGGTACAATGGTGAAGTTCGTCATTTTGATGTTCCTCGGTCACTCGACCCTCGACAGACTTGTTGACCTTGGGCTGGTCAGCTCTCGGTCGATAGCGGAAACCGTCTAACGAGACCAAGGCTCGAGCCCTATGACGACTTGGTTATGGCACTACGTTGTTGTGCACGTCTCGATAGTGGACCAACAGAAACTCCCACTTCAGCCGAAGCTAGACGAGGTTCGTTATCAGAAGCAAGGATTTGGCTAGCAGAAGCTGAGGTTCGGCTAGGTTGCTTAACAACCCATTTCTTAGCCTGACGGCTAGCTGTTAGAGCCTCATCTTTGAGAGGCATAGACTTTTCCTCGAGATTGACTCGAGTGGAATCATCAGAAGATACTTGGCTGAAGTCTCATACAAGACTCGTCGGCACTTACGTGCCTTCGTGGGACTGGATACTCCAGAGGAGATAAACTCCTCGTACTTGGTCTGATCAAACTCAATGACCATGGTCTCAACTTCAGTTCTCACTGCAATCTTATCTGACTACACCACCACCATCTCGTCGGAAAGAATGGTTTCTCCCACTGTGGTCGCCATCGTCTATAGGGTTTAAAATTTGAAGATTGATTGATTCACTTGTTTTAAGAAAACTGGGTTCGATCACTTGGTATGAAACCCTTACAATCACTCACTCACTCTCTCTTGATTACAGATGAAGAGAAGATTAATTCAGCTTCTTCTTATTTAACGTGGGCTCTTGGTGGCGAAAGGATGCTTGAGTCGAGATTGCCTCCCGTTGACGATCAGAACAAGATTGCTGAAGCTTTTGACGTTCATTAGAATGCTAGAATCGAGGTTCGAATTCCAGATCTATACGCAGGAGCTCTGATCTCTGATAATTGCCAAAAGTCTAAAAGTCCGAACCCTTTCCTCTGTAGCCATCCATGGCTATTTATAGAATTAAAGCACGTAACTGACGTACTATAATCACGGGTAGAGGGGCGTAACTACCTCCTCCAAATCAGCGCGCGCCATAATGTGCTCCTGAAGATTAGCCCACGTGGCTGACTAAGTCTTCGGAGCCGTTACAACTAAATCTCATGTGGACGACGAGCCTCATCTTTGATTGACACGGAGTTCGTCAAATTGGACGAGCCTCGATACGCAGCGAGGATCGTCTTATAAGGCAAACTTTGTAGTAAGAGAGCTTCTTCTGACGAATTTTGTCTTCACTGACTTCGTCTGACGAACTTCGTCTTCACTAACGAACTTCGTCGTCGATAGCTGCGTTCAACTGCGTAGAAAATTTGGTGGATTTTCCTTAGATGAACTTCGTCTTCACTAATGAGCTTCAAGTCTGACGATGAGCTTTGTCTTCACTGACGAACCTCATCTTCCAAAGAAGAATGTCGAACCTCGTTTCCAACGACAAGCTTTGTTGTTTGAGACGAGGTCCGTCATTGTAATGACCTTCGTCATACTTGTTATGAGCTTCAATGCTCCAAGGCCAAATAATTAGCCGATGATCTATGAAGATCCATGAGAGTGGAGGAGAGATAGGCTTTTGACTAGCCTCTCCCTCTCCCCTTCCTTTCATGTTTATCATGCCAATTTATAGGCTTAGGACCATTATGGAGTAAGTTAATAGGTTTTAACTCCCCTTATAATAAGTGAGTTAGTGGTCATTAACGCTTATTTAAATGGGTGAGTTAGTAGTCATTAACTCTCCTTAAATGAGTGAATTATTGATCATTAACCCTCCTTAAATATAGCCTATGAAAATGGTAAAACGAGGTTCGTCAATAACGGCTATGCACGAACTTTATCTTCAATGACGAACTTTGTTTTTGGACGAACTTCGTTTTCAATGACAAACTTTATTTCTGGACGAACCTCGTTTTCAATAATGAACTTTGTTTTCAATGACGAACTTCGTTTCTGGGTGAACTTCGTCTTCAATGACGAAGTTCGTCTTTTGAGGGGTGAGGTGCCATTTGACGAGGTTCGTCTTAAATGACGTTCATCATTATGATGGGCTTCATTGGCTGAGATGAGGATCATCATCATGACGAGCCTCGTCATGCTTGTAGCGAGGTTCAACCTTGCTTTATTCTTTGGCATTTTTTAGTGCCTACAGTCATCCCTAGCTATTAATATAAATTATATCAGATGTGAGAGAGATTTTTTAGCACATTCATTTTGGAATAATTATGATTTTTTAATCATCCCTCTGTTGGTCACAATATAAGTTGAGATCATATCATTAATTCCATATGAAATGGTTTAAAACATCTCGCTCGCATACAAGATGTTTGATGTTTGACATATAATGCATATGTTAGGGGTTTTGAGGAAATTTTTTTTGCCTGAAATCGTATTTTTTCAAAGCCTAGGCCAACTTTTAGGACTACATATCATAACATCTATTATTCAAAAATATCTCACAAATAAGCTAGTGACAGTTACATTTTTGTTTCACCCAAGATGTCATAGGTTCTATATTTGTCTTTGGCATGCATGAACAGTACTTGATTCTGAATAAATCTACACGTGACAAAATTATTTGACCTGGGTTTGGTCAGACTTGGGCTCTGGAACTTCAGCGAGCACTTGGGCTTTGGGCATTGGGCTCGGTCCTTACAGCTGAGCGCTTCCAGAAGTATTTTGCGTTGGTGGATGCACAAACAAAAAACTCTGAAAAGCTACAATTTCAAGCTAACCTTATATTTCTCTTTTGTCCAAACGGTAACTTCAAAGCAAGTTTCACTCAATTTGATTTTTTTTACGCCACATCCGAACTTCAAAAGACAATGATAATTGATTGAAGGATAATTTTGTCATTTTGAGACCTCAACAAAACCTAAAAAAGAAAAACGTTACAAAGTCTCTAGTCAAGGAGCAAAAGGGCAAATCCAATCTCCAATTGGCCCTATTCTACCGCTCTCCTTTATATTTTCCAATTGTTTTCTTACCAAACACCACCTCTCATTTCCTATCCAAAACACCATGGCCTTCAAAAACCTCACCCCTAACACCTTCATCTTCTTCCTCCTCCTCTTCTCTACTCTTCTTTCTCTTCTCCCAAAACAAGGTCCCCTCTAAATTTCTCTTCTCATAATACAATATAGTTTGTTAACTCTTTTTCTTTAATTTACCGATCTCATCTTGAGTCCTAACTTATATTTTGTTTGTTTTAAATGTTTCAGGTGTATGTACACAAAATACACTTATCCGTCCCCATCTTGACTCAAATTTGATACCAAAGGTAGACTTCTTCCTTTGAGCTATATATGTAAGCATACATACGTACGTAAGTGGTGATTAAATTTCTATATTTTTACTTAGGATTTGAAGGAAGTAGGATTTTGGAGATGGAGGGAGAAGAATGCAAGAAGGTTGATGATAGGCTCCATCGCCCCGACTTGCACTTATAACGAGTGCAGAGGTTGCAGATATAGGTGCAGAGCCGAGCAAGTACCTGTGGATGCCAACGATCCAGTCAACAGTGCTTATCGCTACCGTTGTGTTTGTCACAGGTGATAAATTTTGTAGAAGGATAAGAGAGAAGTTGGATTTTGTTATGAGTTCATCTTATAAAAATGGTCTAGATTTTATGTACTTAAAATGAGAGAGATCTTGATCTCCATTTTAGAAGAGTTAGAAGATTTTGTCAATGTGATTGCTTGTAGAATCGTTAATAAGTTTTTTTTTAAGAGTATATCTTCTATGAAAAGCGAAAGGAAGTCTTTATGCTCCAAAAGAAGGTAAAAGTTAAAAACTCTGGGCATTATAGGATCTAGCGCCTCTTGTGCTGCTCTTAACAGTGCATGTTCGTTGTGCAGAGCGGGCAGTGACTGTAATTCCATGCTCATCCTTGGAAAAAAAAGGAAATTTGTAATATTTTTTTTTTAACCGTGACTGGAAGTGGAACCAAGCTACAAGATTGCATGCAGACATCGAGGAGGTCAACCTCATAGAAGGCTAACTTTAGCGCACCCTTGTGGGAAACACCCAGTACTATACCCTTTCACTTTTTGGAAGCCAATTCTCAATTTAAAACCAGCCCGTTCTGCATAATCAAATATAAATGTATAAAAAACTTAGAACATATCAGATGAAAATGAATTATATGGGAACTAGATGTGCAGATTAAACTTAGAAAAAACATTGGGAACAATGGCGGATCCAGAAAAATTTCTTGATGAGATAGACAACAAATATCTATTTATCTAAAAATTAAAAATATAATAGGAATGCAATTTAGTACACTTTATTAGCTTAATGCATCAAATTTTTCCTATAATTAAACAAATTTGAGAATGTCACTAATAACTTACTTTAAAAGGGTAAATTCAAGGGTTGCTAATTTTTTAGTGATATATAAGTTAGAGGCGGGGTACAAATGTCTTAAAACTAGGAGAGGCGGATTGCATGCAAGTTGAGGAAAAATCAACATGCAATTTCCAAATTGTTAAGGGTGCAACTGCACCCCTAACTAATAACATTGGGGTTAAGGTTTCGAAGTTTTGAAAAAGTTCTCTCTCTCCAGGTGGTCTCCTTCAGGCCTATTTGGTTAATTTCCAAGAAACCTAATTTAGGGAAATGACCCATTGGAAAGGGTTGTGGAACCACGTTTCCATTTCCCCGCCTCATTTTTTCAACAATGGGTTTCTTTGTCCTTCAAACCAAACAAAAGAAAGGAAATTGTTATTGGAAATCTATTTCCTATAATTATATTTTCTTGGTTACTTTGACAACCAAATAGACCCCCCACCATCCTCTTCGCCTTTACTGTTGGTAGAAGAAGCATAGGGAATTGTCACGTCCCTTGGAGATCTAATGTGGCAAAATCCAAGCAGTAGAACTTAAATTCTTTGAATGATGTTTAAGAAACGGGTTGAGATCGACGGTGAGAAGTGGAATAATAAGCTATCTAGAGAGAGATTGGTACAAATTACTGGAATCGTGCGGCTACCAATAGCTAAATGACTTGCGCTTAGAAGCAAACACATCAGGATGGTCCGGACTAGGACCTGACCAAAACCCCTCTAAAGCTTAAACCAATGATTTTCAAAAGAAGAAGCTACTATATTGTAAAAAGCTAAAGACTTGGTATGCAGAACATATATAGGTTTATTCTCAGGTTAGCTTGCGTGTCACTTCTAGAGACTTGTTCTTGTTTTTTCGAGAGAAAGGGGGCTCATTCAACAAGTGTGCAATGGCAGACATGCTAGAAAGGACCAGATGCTGGAGTGCGTGGCTGGAGACCTATTGTGAGACTTGTTTGTTTGGACTGCTGTGTCATGGAATCGATATTCAAAATAGATGCAAAAAATAACCCTATCAAAACAGTCCATATACGAGTGGGTGGTTCTGACCTTCCAACATGCTAAATAAGAGGGCAAATTGGTTATTTGCAACCTCATTTGGTGGCTTAGAACCAACCATTGCATGCGGCTGATTCTAATAAGATATGTGGTCTACTTAAAATAAAGTAAAGTGACAAAATATAACAAGGCGTCTTAATATTAGATGCCAAATTTAACTTTCCAATACTTTGAAAATATTGCAACAATCATAGCCTTTAAAACATTAAAGGTTTCGGAATGTTCCCTTTTTACTCTTGTTCTGTCCTCCTTTGGGTTAATAAAATAAGATGAAAAAGTTACACTTCAAAGTATACTTTTGTTGGACGACAACAAAAAAAGCTACGACAGATATGACATCTAATATTTCCTAGAAATATTTTCAATAAAAAAGTATAATAACAGAACCTTTCAATCCCCTAAACAGGCACGAGTATTAATACGCCAATCATCTCAATAACTTCGTTTTACTTAATTTTTTACATGCACCAAGTGCTGCATCGAGCAAATCAGAAAATATATATCCTCATTTCTTGTAAAAAATTATTGCATCGGGCAAATCAGAAGACGTATTTTGAGCTTCTTTTTTGCAACAAATGTTTCCTCAAGAAAATCAGAAATATATTTGTAGATCATTTTCCTGCAACATATGATACATTTCTGCTGCATATATTTCTCTCTATAACGCCAAAAAATGTTAACCATACCAGATGATACACAAAGGATTCAACTGAAGTAAAATACTAGCTAGTTCTATAATTGTGATAGTGACTAAACCTAAATAATCAAGGTACGATGAGCTGTCTTAAGGACTCAACTTGGTTGCCAATCATAAGAGTGCTGATGTTAGTTCTTCATGAAACTTACCGTAGCGATCTTATTATGCTTCACATACAATTCAATTTTAGATAAGCAATGATGATAATGTTAATGATCTTGCTCCATGATTGGCTTGATGTGGGGTTTATTGTCTTTGGTTATATATATACTGTTTACACTCCATATGACCACATGCATGTTTTAGTGAAAGGTACTATTATTGGATTAATATTGATTGATGTACATTGTTACTATACAAATTTATAACTCAACTTCTAACAAAGTAATAATCGTTAAGCATATTAAAACATTATCCCTACATTGAACACCCAAAAGTTTGACCATTATCCTAACAAGAAACCAAGAAATTTAAACTGTATGGAACAGGTAAACCCAAACAAATTCCATAAGGTATATGGGAAAAAGTACTATTTAAGAGAAAAGTAATTAAGAGAAATGCGTATGATAGATGTAAAACATGAAGACCTAAAACTAATTTATATGTGATTACAATATAATCTTTGGATGCTTGGGATTAGGTCATTAGAACAAGAATAACCTCTTTCGGATCCAGAAGTCTATTTTTTGAAACATATGGAAAAATATTACTCCTAATTCAGTGAGCATCCTCTTCCTTACCCCTTACCAAACAAAATGTTGGATTTAGGAAGAAAGAAAAGAAAACAAAGATTGAAAATGAACATAAAAAGTAAAAACACATGCATATATAGAATATACTGAATGAGAGTAAAACTGTCTATAAAGATCATCTTCTTATCACACATAAAACATTCTAGATGTTCCAACATAATGGTCGTCGACGATAACGACAACTAAACATTAGCGTATTAAACGGCATAAGAAAGTAAGACATCTTTTTAGGTGCAGGATCGGTAAAGGTTAGGGTCTTATATATAGCCTAAATAACACGTACGTAAAGACTTGAAGGTAGATGGTGCCTTGTAATTATCAAAAGTAAACTCCATACACCCTGTGAAAGGCTTGAATAACATACAATTATGACCAGTATAAATAGTTCCTTTTATCTCTAAAAGAGCCGTTTTGATTTCAATTCAACCAAAGGCCGTCAATTTTTGGGGCTGATCTGTTCGTATTTATCTTATTTTACCCTCTCAGCTGGGATAAAGCCCAATGTATCCCTCGTGCTTATTTCCTTGGGTAATTGTTTGGGCTGATCTGTTTGTTTTCAAGCTTTTCAAAATCTCATAAACAACTTTGGCATATATATAGAGTAAGAAATCTAAAAATGTTACCCTCTTGTTCCCCCACATGTACGTTATTCATTCAAAGCTCAGCGGAAGTTTTAATTTGTAATAATTCAAACGTCTTACTCTACTCCGTTTTTTTTTATATATCTCGGGGAAGTTAGTTACCTAGCCCGTTTCTTTGCGCTATATCACTACTGTTTCCAAGTGACTAGTAACGGGGTTCTCAGGCTTACTCTCTTGTGCAGTCATCATTCTAGTTTCAAATTATTATTGGTCACTAGGACCACCTGCACCATAACTACACACCTCAGAAAACTGTACTCCGCATTCCAAAAGAATCAAAGCGGTAACCGATGGCACCTAAGAATCCACATAGCCTCAGATTTGAGTAGTGGTGAGCATAAGCTCAAAATTATACTGTTGAGATTCTGCAGAAATCTGGAGTACTAATTGATTTAGAAAGGGATTTAAGAGAGGGCGAAACCCAGACAAACATTCCAATCCAAAGCAATGCTGGAATTGTACTCATCTGATGGAGAGAGGTCCTGAATCCCTCTGCTTTTGTGTGCAAAAGAGGGGGAAGGGAGCACATGAATAGTGGTCCCAATTATAGTACTCAGCAAGGATCACATGCGCACCGCCTCAGCTTCACTGAATCTACTACCAGGATTGCATTTGTTTTGTGCTGCATGAGATGCCTAGATGAGGACACGCAATGGGCCATGAATAAATATGCCTCATTTCCCCTCTCCTCCCCAGCCTCCCGACACACACACACGCAAAACCCACGTAACACACACGAGTAAGGGGAAATTTCCTATAGAAGATCCTCCATAGAAAAACCGCACAGGGCAGATGGGGGATCTTGACAGTGTTCCCTGGCATGAATGTTAAATTTAATCGTTAGTAACAATTGAACTTTTAATATCTTGGTGGGACACGCGGCGGTTACGGATGATTTTCTAACCAAGACGTGTCAAGATCTCCTCCCACACTGTATGATTTTCTATATAGAGGGTCCGTTAGGATATGAGTAAATTTCCATTAAAAAAAGACCCCCGTGAACTTCAGGGACTTTAGCATGGACTGTTGCGCGTCGTGCAACAGCATGCTCAACAACCAAACGAGCCGGTGAGCGATGAGAGAAGAAAACCAAAAACCAAACACGAGTGCAATTCACAAAATAACGATCAAAATCACACACAAACACAGGAATTTACGTGGTTCGGCAATTGCCTACGTCCACGGGGGGAGGATGGG